GCGGACGAAGGAGCGGGCTAGGCGGCTTTTGAGCGTTTCGTTGGAGGGAATTTTTGAATGAAGAGGGTGTTTATGTAATTTGTATCTTTCCTTTTGCTTTAATTAGAGAGTTAAGAGAGAATTAGGGATTATCTTGAATTTGAATTCTCTTTTGAGATCTAGGGTTTGTGTGCTTGGGCTCTTGGCTTCGCCGGAGAACTTTGGAGAGTTGTTCTTCCTCTCGGATTGAAGAACAAATTGTATCTTTGCTATTTTCATTGTCTACTAGTAAAATACAAGTGTTTTCTCCTCATCTCATGCAGTTTTCCTCTATATTTCTACTGTTTTTGGCTGATTTCCTGCTGTGGACAGCAGTTCGCTTTGAGATTGGTTGCTAAAGTGATTAGGGAATACTTGAAATCAAGTATTTCCTATCAGCGTCCCTGCTTCCTCCGTTCGCCTACAACTGATACGAGAAATGCATAGCGGCGGGTTGGCGGCCCATTTGGGTCGACAAAAGATGATTGAACAAATGCCGTGATTTTTTTGGCCTCACTTGTGGAAAGATGTGGCAAAATTTGTACAAAACTGTCCAGTGTGCCAAGTATACAAAGGCCATAGCCAAAATACTAGGTTATACAGTCCGCTACCCATCTCAATCTCCATTTGGGAAGACCTTAGTATGGATTTTGTGCTTGGATTGCCGCGAACTAAGAAAGGTGTCGACTCAATCATGGTGATGGTTGATAGGTTTTCCAAGATGACTCACTTTATAGCTTGCAAGAAGACGTCGGATGCTCTCGACGTCGCTTGATTGTTCTTCAGGGAAATTGTTCGACTTCATGGGCTTCCGAGAAGTATCACATCTGATCGGGACGTCAATTTCATTAGTCACTTTTGGAGAAAGCTTTGGAAGCAATTGCAAACGGAACTCAAACTAAGCTCCGCCTATCACCCCCAAACTGATGGCCAGACCGAGGTGGTGAATCGCACCTTGTGCAACATGTTATGTTGCTTGGTGCAGGACAATCCAAAAAGATGGGATGAAATTCTGAGCCAAGCTGAATTTTCTTACAATTCCATGCCCAACAGATCCACTGGTATGTGCCCATTTAATATTGTCTATACTAAACCTCCTAACCATATTGTAGACATCGCCATCCTCCCCAAGTGTCAAAATGTGGCGGCCACCAAGCTAGCCAGAGATTTCAAGACTATGCTGGACAACGTTCGCAACACATTGCAAGCTTCAAATGACTCATACAAGCAAGCGGCGGATGCACATCGACGATACAAGACCTTCCATCCCGGCGAGTTGGTCATGGTGCGTTTGAGGAAGGAAAGATATCAAACCGGTACCTATTCTAAACTGGTTCCGAAGAAGCTTGGTCCGGTTTCCATCAAGCTTAAAATCAGCGACAATGCATAGGTAGTAGAGCTTCCGCCCGATGTTTTGACGTCGTCTACGTTCAACGTCGCTGACATTAGTCCATACCACCCACCCGATTCAGCGGTCATTGAAATCGATTCGTCGGACACGAATCCTTTTATAGAGGGGGAGAACTGATGTGGGAATCACCTCTCTTACCAATGAGCTGCAGGAACACCACACAGGAGCACCTTTTCTCTTACCGTTAGAATGCATATTTTCACTACTTCTCTAACTAATTATAGTACTAGAGGACATTTACACTTTTTTCTTGTTATTTCACTCTTAGTAAAGCAACCGGCATATATGAGGCGGATAGGTGCTTTAAAAGACAGCTTTTGATTATCTGAATATACTGCTTGCTTAGCATTTTACTATTTTATCGGTTTGCTTGTTCTCTGTTTTCCTTCTTCTTGTTGCTTCCACAACAGTCCATTGGATCACGCGTAATAGAGGCTGGATTTCTCCACCTCCTGTACATGCCGCTCCAACCGACTCAGTACAAAAGAGCTGTTTAGGAAGGATTTTTGAGGGAGTTAGGAGGGAAATTTGAATGTAGGGTATCATTTGGATTGTATGCATTAAATAGTTTGTTTTCCTAGGGTTAGGGCATCTTGAATTTGGCTGAAATTTGAGATCTCTTAGGTTTTTGGGCTCTAGCGGCATCTAGAGATTTGGGAGAGATAGATCCTCCTCTCAAATAGAGGATCAATTGTAATTTACTCATCCATTCCATTTCGTAATTATCAAGTGATCAATCTTCATAGCAATTGTTCCTTCTTACATTTCGTAATTATTAAGTGATCAATCTTCATAACAATTGTTCTTTCCGATTCTCTATTGTTATCAGGCATTTGACGAAGCTATCGCAGAGCTCGATTCCCTTGGAGAGGAATCCTATAAGGATAGCACTCTTATTATGCAGCTTCTCCGTGATAATCTCACCTTATGGACTTCTGACATGCAGGTCCCAATTCATATTTCCATGACTAATCTTACTTTATTCATATTTATGGTTATAATTTTGTCTGTATTTATATTTTAATTCTATGTGCAGGATGAAGGGGCTGATGAGATTAAAGGAGCTTCAAAACCTGAAAAGGAATAGTAGAAAAAAACTTCTGTCCCTCAAGTCTTGTTTAGTTGCTGGTGTTTTTCTTATTAGGAATGGCAGATTGACCATCCTAAGGTTTTTTTAGCTGTCTTACTGACCTGTTCAACACTAAATTGATAAATTCTGCTGCCTTTTATCCAGTTTCTATTGGCTTATTTTCTGTCATCTGTGGAGGCTATACATAAAGGTTTTTATCTGATTTTCAACTTCTGAATCTTTTGTTTGATATGGGGATAGGGCTGCAAATGAGTCGAGCCGAGCCAAGCTGAGTATGTGAGTGTTCATGTTTGAATTCATTTATTATCAATTTGTTCAAGTTTGGTTCATGTTTTATCATTCGAGCTTTATTGTTTGTGCTCGTGTTTGATTCGTTTAAATTAATGGGTGCTCATGTTTGATTCATGTTCGATTTGTTTAGTGCTTATCGAGATTTAAGTAAACAAGTCTTAATGAGCTAGATATTTATTAACTTAATAAACGAGCTTTATCGGGCATCCTAACAAACAATTACATTGAGCATGTTAGTGAACATATTTAGCGAATTTTTTTAAACTATCAAACAAGCATGTTCATGAAAATATTAATGAGTATTTTTTAGTTATCAAATGAGCAAGTTCATTATCATATATAACTAGTTTTGTACAGCTAAAATGAGCTCGTTCGCGAACAAGCGATCTATGATTCATTTTATATTTGTTCATAAACATTTTAAACAAATAATCTAACAAATATTATTTAATAATAATTATATGATTATGTTATAATAAATATTAAATTTTATATTATGTATATTTATCAATTTTATAATAAAATATTGATTAAGTTTTTATCTAGCTTATTCATGAGTTCTGAATTGAACACGAATCGAACTTGTTCACCAGTTTCAAGTGATGTTGTTCATGAACATAAATGAGTAAAACGTATTAGCATTCAAGCTTGTTTATTTAAGGATCAAGTATTTAAAATATTGTTCAAATTTGTTTGCTTAGTTAATTAAATGATTACAAACAAGATTTAATTAAAATGAGCAATGAATAGCTCATCGAACGCTTGGTTCTCTTGCAACCCTATAGGGGATAGCTCTTACAACTACAAATCAAATATGCTTGAAATTTAAAAAAAAGAAATTTAAAATATTTTTTTGAAAATGCATATATAATATGATTTTAATTAAAATGTATCCATTATTTTAACAAATGTTCATGATTTCACAAGGAAAATATTATGTTTAAATATAACTAATTACTAAACATTATAATTAAATTATTATATCAAAATAATTAAATTATCACACAATAAAATCAAATTATTAGACATTCATAATTATACTCATTACAAGAGAAACATATTATGAATATTTAATAATTTTATTGTATAGTATAACAATTTAGATGTGTTTATCTAATAATTTAATTTAATATATAATAGATAAAATCAAAAACGAAAAAATTTCCAATTATTTGGGCTCGGCTGAACGTTTCTACCGCGAATTCAGTGAAGAAGATTACGTAAATCATATTTTCAGTCTTTGCCACTACGCATAAAACTGCACTTCTCTGAAGAAATAAAAAATAAAAAATTTCGTACGCAAAACCCTCTTCCCTCCCGAATTTGATCTCTCCCGTTCGTCCCCAGCTACCTTTCCCTCCGTCTCCTCCGAAGATGTCGAAAGAACGGGCACCACCAGAGCTGGAGAAAGCGATAACGGCTAAGAAAGCTAAAAAAGAACCTTGCGACAGCCGAGAAGGCCTCATCGTCCTTGCCAGACTCGCCGCCGACGGCAATCGCTACGATCACATGTTCCGATACATGAGAAGGCTCATTGCAATCGTCGCGCCAGACGGCCCTCTCACCATGCACGAGCGCAAAATTTTCAGCATGTCCTGCACGATCCTTCTCGAAGGACACCGCGAAGCCTATCGCTACGTTTCCAAAGCAGCCTCCGAGTCCGCCGGCGTCGATCCACAGCGGGCGGAAGCCGCCACCGAGTACCTGGAACTGATCGCGTCGGAGATCGCCAAACACTGCACCGATGTCGTCGGGATCATCGATATATGTTTTCTGCCCGCGGACACCGGACCGGTGGGCTCCGCTGCGACTCCGGAGGCTAGGGTTTTTTACAAGAAGATGAAGGGGGATTTTATAAAGTATATGGCGGAGGTGAAGGACGGGCCGGAGAAGGAGAAGATCGCACAAGATGCCTTCATGGCCTACTCGTCCGCTAAGGTAAGATGGTGAAGCCACTCTTTGTCATTGATATATTGGATTTACGAATCGATTTCTTGGTTCCTTTTTTGCCTTCGAATCGGTTGATTTGAGCCATCGTTTAAGCTTTGTAATCAGCTCTGATTTTGATAATGAAGATTTTGGGGTAAATTTGCTTTTGATCGGATTTGATTATGTAAATTTAGGGTTTAGGGTTTTGATTGGATCTCTTTCATATTATTTAAAGAGACGATTCGCTCTGCAGGAGGACGAAGAGCAATTGCCGGCGACAAATCCAACGCGGCTTGAGTTGGAGCTCAGTTTAGCACTCTTCTATTTTGATATACGCTGCTTGCCCGTTGCTGCTTATAGTGTCGCAAAAGAGGTTCGCTTTTATTTTATATATATATGGATAAAAAAATTAAATTAAATATTCAGAAAATTAATTTTTTTTTAAATTAGTGCTGACATAATGAATTCCTTGCTGAGATATTATTTATAGGCAAATTTATGTATCAATATTGTTAGATTTACCTTTGATATATCTTAAAAAAAAAAAGCTTAAAAAATTAAAAAAAAAAACTTTAAAAAATTCAGATTGTCAATAGTAATCTCGATAAGATATTTAAATTAAAACTTTTGAAATTATTATTTTTATTATTTTTATTGAAACACCGTTATGCCACCATGTCGGGTGCCGCAGCGTCTGAATTTGTTTATGTACCTAATATGAATAGTTTTTCAGTCTTTTGTAAGGGGTTCTGTCATTTTAGTGAGTCATGAGTGCTTAAGTATAATGGCACTTCAGAGTCAAATATAAATGGGACAAGAGGATAGAAAGATATAACAAGTGAAGTGGTGGCTTACATTTTTATGAGAAAGCGAGTAATTAAAGAAGATAGGACTATATAGAGTGAAGTTGTACTATTCTTGTGATATCTATTTACACTTTTCTCATTGTACTTTCTTTTCGGAGCAATCAATAAAATTTATGTTGTTTTACTTTAATTCCATAGCTAGCTAAATCTCCTAGTTTTGGACTAATGATGTGAAACCTTAGTAATTACTAATATAGACTCCTATGATTTAATGAATTAATAGATAGTTTTAATATCTCATGTTCTTAATTTAATCTATACAATGGTTGTGTAGAGTGAAAATATAGTGTGATATATTACCTCGATGGAAGAACATTAGAATACTTAGACTTAGGATGTTTAGTATTCTAAAGCCTATGGAGATATAATAACTATAGGAGGGTCATAAACCTTCATTCACTTCCTTACAATCTTGTTGGAGATCAAAAGATGCATAAGCTTTGATTCATTACCAATGTAGGAGAGTCAAAATAGGAAAGCTTTGGAAATTCTATATCATTAATTCAAAATACTTTATCTATTGATATATTATCTTTTATTTTCCATTTCATAGTCAAGACAGAGTTCAAACCTGATTTTTATTGTGTGATAAACATTGTAACTTAAATAGATAGATCAACACAATTGCATTATACCATAACACTTTCTTGTGAATCAACAATCTCTCATTAGTCTCATATCACTTTTATTACTTGATCAACATGTATACTTGCATTATTTTTTGGACATTTATATCAAAGAAAACTTAAGCATATTTCACGCACCTCTACTTATCTGCACGCCCACACCCCATCAATGGTCTATCCATACCAAATAATAATCTCAGACACGCATAAATGGTAGAACCTACCAGTCATCGCTAACTGCTTGTAAGCGCAGCACATGCTCTTAGGAATGCCTATAGCCTTAAGGCGCACGATCTATGGAATAAGCTAGGATTGATAAGCCTTTTCAAAAATGGCTATATATATATTCTTAAGAAATTTTGAGAATTTCTATATATATATAAAAAAAAAAAGATAAAGCTTTTTAAATTTTCTTCCTCTTTAGATTTTTAAATACCTCCATTAGGGCTAGGATGGAGGCATGATTCTAGGCTCTCTTTATTCACTATAAAAAGTGAAAAAAATTGTTCAACAAAAATTGAAAATCACTAGAGGCTATTAAAGCTTGATTTTTTTTATTCAAGCTCCAATTCTCAATTTCTCATCGTTGATTTTTTGCCTCAATGCATTACAAGCATTGATGCAAAAATTGTATAATAAAAATTTAAAAATCATTGGAGGCGGTCAAGGCTTCTCACTCGCATGACAAGATTTCAATTTTAAGAAGAAAAGTTTGTCACAGTCTGGGGTTAGGGCTTTTCTGGTTCCTTTCCGCCGCTGCTTCCTTTTGGTTCCCGCCGGAGAGAGCCTCTCCAGATGGAGGCTTCTCCTCATGATTTTCCTCCTCTTTCCCATTCTTCTTTCGTAGGCCCCCCTCCTATGCCACGGACTACATCTTATGCAAACAATATGTCTGCTCCAGCGTCTAAAACACCCGATTTTCCTATGTCCTTCGTTCTACCAAGTCAGAAGCTCTCTTTCTCCGGTGATGATCTATCTAAAGGGTCCTTGCTTTGGACTCTATCTTTAGTGGGATACTTGATTGGCCAACAACCCTACTACGAAAGGTTATTCTCTGCCATGAAAAAACTTTGGAGTCTTAAAGGTTCGCTTTCCCTCCTCTCTCTTGCAGATGGTTTTTTCTTATTTAAATTCACCTCCCCTAGGGGGGGGGGGGGGGGGGGGGGGGGGGGGTGCGCTTGGTATCTCTTAGGGAAATCGTTCATCCTTCAAAGATGGTTTCCAAAGTTTAATCTGGTTAGGGATGAATCGGCCTTAATACCTATATGGGTAAAAATAATCAATCTTCCCTTAGCTTTATGGACTCCTACGGGCATTTCTAGAATTGCTAGTTACATTGGGGTGTGGATTCTTGAAAGTGATGACTTTTTTTTTTCTGATGGACATGCCATAATCGGGAAATGATGGTTTGACAGGGGCGATCGTGCGGTGGTAGGATGGTAATTAGAGTGTGATTGCTCGATGATGAGAGTGGGATGACAGTGGTCTGATAGTGGTGATTAGACATTGATCCGATAGCGGTGGTTTGATGGGGGTGGTTGGGTAATGGTGGCCCCCAAGTGAAGCTCTTATATTCCTCATGGTTATTAGAGTGTGATTGCTCGATGATGAGAGTGGGATGACAGTGGCCTGATAGTGGTGATTAGACATTGATCCGATAGCGATGGTTTGATGGGGGTGGTTGGGTAATGGTGGCCCCCAAGTGAAGCTCTTATATTCCTCAAGTCTCAAAGATCACTTAAATTTCAAGCTAGTTCATAGTGCTTTTTTTATCTGGCAAGTGTGGGTTAGATTTTTAGAGAGGAAGGCCTCATAAATATACTCAAAATGTGAAATACTTCATCATACAACCCATAAAAAAATAGTATAATCATAAACCATTTCTTGGTATCTCTTAGGGAAATCGTTCATCCTTCAAAGATGGTTTCCAAAGTTTAATCTGGTTAGGGATGAATCGGCCTCAATACCTATATGGATTAAAATAATCAATCTTCCCTTAGCTTTATGGACTCCTACGGGCATTTCTAGAATTGCTAGTTACATTGGGGTGCCCTTGACTGTGGATCCCCTCACTGCTAAGAGAACTCGATTAACCTTTGCTAGGGTCTGTGTGCAAAATTCTAAGGATTCTTGAAAGTGATGACTTTTTTGTCTGATGGACATGCCACAATCGGGAAATGATGGTTTGACAATGGCGATCGTGCGGTGGTAAAATGGTTATTAGAGTGTGATTGCTCGATGATGAGAGTGGGATGACAGTGGCCTGATAGTGGTGATTAGACATTGATCCGATAGCGATGGTTTGATGGGGGTGGTTGGGTAATGGTGGCCCCCAAGTGAAGCTCTTATATTCCTCAAGTCTCAAAGATCACTTAAATTTCAAGCTAGTTCATAGTGCTTTTTTTATCTGGCAAGTGTGGGTTAGATTTTTAGAGAGGAAGGCCTCATAAATATACTCAAAATGTGAAATACTTCATCATACAACCCATAAAAAAATAGTATAATCATAAACCATTTCTTGGTATCTCTTAGGGAAATCATTCATCCTTCAAAGATGGTTTCCAAAGTTTAATCTGGTTAGGGATGAATCGGCCTCAATACCTATATGGATTAAAATAATCAATCTTCCCTTAGCTTTATGGACTCCTACGGGCATTTCTAGAATTGTTACATTGGGGTGCCCTTGACTGTGGATCCCCTCACTGCTAAGAGAACTCGATTAACCTTTGCTAGGGTCTGTGTGCAAAATTCTAAGGATTCTTGAAAGTGATGACTTTTTTGTCTGATGGACATGCCATAATCGGGAAATGATTGTTTGACAGTGGCGATCGTGCGGTGGTAAGATGGTTATTAGAGTGTGATTGCTCGATGATGAGAGTGGGATGACATTGGTCTGATAGTGGTGATTAGACATTGATCCGATAGCGATGGTTTGATAGGGGTGGTTGGGTAATGGTGGCCCCCAAGTGAAGCTCTTATATTCCTCAAGTCTCCTAGATCACTTAAATTTCAAGCTAGTTCCTAGTGCTTTTTTATGTGGCAAGTGTGGGTTGTTAGATTTTTATAGAAGAATGCCTAAATAAATATACTCAAAATGTGAAACACTTCATAAGACAACCCATAAAAAAATAGTATAATCATAAACCATTTCTTAGTATCTCTTAGGGAAACCGTTCATCCTTCAACGATGGTTTCCAGAGTTTAATCTGGTTAGGGATGAATCGGCCTCAATACC